AGATGTTACATGGTTCTCCCGGAAGAAAGACGACAGCGTGCTAGACTGAACCTCATTACACTGACGGTTGAGGAAAAAAAAAAAAAAACGGAAAGAATATATAAACTCTCCACTTCGCCACATTCCCCAAGTACCAGTCAAGCAGCACGGTGATACTTGGCCAGTGTCGTGGCAATGCCGGCCGAAACCCGGCTCTAATATCGTCCGAAAGTGCGGTTTTCCACCACGTCCCGGTATCCGGCAGGTATTGGCGTCCCGCCGTGCTGCCACCGGCCTAGTATCGGCGGCATATCGTGCGAGCACTACCGATGTCGAACTGTCGGCCAGGCATCGGCCAGATATCGCATAAGCATCTGCTGTGTGTCGGCCGGACATAGCCTATGCGCTCGCCTTATATCGGCAATATCGGCAGTATTGACTGGCACGTTGATTCCAGATATAGGGCGCACCTTGCGGGCATACATGGACAAACAAAATTGTTTGCGATCTTTTACAGAAGTTAATTAAACCCCTGAAATTTCACACAGCTTTTCTTTATTAAACATAATTACACTGTTTTTATGCCGAGCAAAATAATAAATCAAACACGAACGGTCGGGGAGGTTACAGAGTTTTAGTAGATCGTTCAATGACTCCAAAAACGATATACTAAGACTACATATTGAAACAAAAGCAGGACTACTATTTGAAGCACGATTGCAGTGCACTTACGACCAAACAGCGATATGATGTAAATCGTTATAGATTCATATTCCGACTGGGGCAGCACAGAGCTACGAAGACACAAGTCGAGAAAGGAGAAGGTCTCCCACATTCAACGAAAGCTTCGCTGTCGCCAAAGGAGCAGTTCTATCTCCAAGGGCGTCCAATGAACACACCACGAGTATTCCACGCACTCCGACGTAGAAAACGCCCTGTCGCACTCGTGTCTGTCTAGTCTTTTTTTTTTTCTTTTGTCCTCGTGTAAAAAGCGCTACCATGTCTTTGGTAACCCAAGACCAATACCAACTAGCCCAGCATTCAGCATAGAAAACGGCCATCACCGAAAAATTGGCTTAGACGTATTCCAGGCGTTTTCGACGAAAAACTACGGCCAAGTCTGTAACGCACAAAACCAAGAGAACACCGAAGAGCGCATTTCGGAAACCGGACCTACGTAACCCCATACACCGATGCCCACAACTTGGCAAGCACCGCAGGCTACGGTCCCAGTGATCCCACCAGCGCGTCAGAGCGAGTCGCGTGACAAATTTTGGTCCAAGCGATTTTGTTCTACGGAGATCGGTCACATGTTTCGCGCCATGCTTCCAATTTGCTTGAGCAGCTGTCCAGCTCGCTTACAGCCAAACGAAGACAAAATATCGTGGGGAGGCTTAACAAAAGGCGAGGTCGAAGGGGGTAGATAGTGCAGGTAAGCTCCCTCTCGTTTCTTTGTCTGTCCTACTTGAGATAAAAATAAGCAAATTCTGCTTTGCTTATTTTTTATTTTTTTAAATTCGGTTCTGAGTTGGTCAAGAAATTCGAACACCTGCCCAGCATGGCCGATTCACAACCGACACTCCCCACACTCAACGGATACGGTATGTCAGGATGGCGTCGGCGCTACCCTATCTGATGCTTCACAGATATCGGCTGGGTCAAAATGGTACCGGCACAATCTCTCCAACTTGACGCCAATATCGGCGCGATACTGTGTTCTGCCTGGGAACATTTCATTTCAAAGTGATATTCTATACGGCAACCCTGAATGAACCTCCCTTGCTCGTATTGATGTTAGTCGCACCGCACGATCGGTGGTCAACAGGAATGCAATAAAAAAAAAGGCTCGAGGCACACCTAAGCACTTGTTATGAGTTGTGAATGCGAAAGCATGCACGCCGTTCTTCCACCTCCCTTCTTTCGTCTGCGGCGTACGTGCATCCAAGGTCGAGCGCACGCTCAGTCCTCGGCGCGCTGACCTTGGTCGTGGACCGGTTGACCTGCTGCCTCGCGGGCACGCAGCGCCATGGGGTGCCGGTCATTGAAACTGACACGCAGCGGCCAATGGGAGGCTTGTCGACGCGCGCCAGCCAATGGGCCCAAAGCCGAAATCTATCAGCTTTACTCCGCTCCTTTGGAATCGGGGAAACTATGTGTCGTTTGGCTAGGCTTTTCATGTGGTTTCATAGCGGGGAGCTGGTTTCACTTGGAGAAAGGAGTTAAGGTGCGGTTTGTCGGCTTCAAAGCTGATGACGTCGGCTCGCTCCTTGGGACAGTTAATGTTTTCGCCTTAAAATATATCCTCTACAACGCTCATGACAAATCTGCTACGCCTAAAAAGTAATCAGTGGTTCTGCTTCCTCGCGATGCTCTTGGGGTTTTGTGAATCCCTAAGTAAAATCCATGCATGAAGGGCAGACAATCGTCTCTAACCAACGGGTAAAGACTCGTTCACACCTTTACGTTTGAGTGCGAGTTAATACATCACTATCACATGTGCTTGCTTACGACGACGGAACAGACGTGCACAAGAGCGCTATCTTTCAGGCAGCCCCGAAACAACTATCATCTGTGTATCACTTGTCCTGTGAGCTTCTTCGTCTTTTTTGCCGGTTTTTCTTTAGCTATTTTTAATATGAACAAACAGAAGGATTTGCCGTGCTTGTGACGTGTACGCGCCTCTCTTGAAAAACGGTCCTTTGCAACATTGCCATAATTATTTCAAGTCGTGGGTATATTATTCTATGTGTACCCAATAGACGGCTTCAGTGTGTTATCTCCGAGTAAGCGGCCACAACCGAGACACGTTGTCCTTTCAGATCCAGTGACCGGTTCCAGCGTGGACTGGGCCTACGAGAAGGCGGGAGTGACGAAGAGCTTTGCTCTCGAGCTTGAGCCAGGAAGTACGTCGTCCGATTCCTCCAGGGGTTTCCTTCTTCCCCCCAAGTACATCCTCCCCACGGCCGAAGAAACCTGGGCAGGCATCCGCGCTGCCATTGGGTCCCCCTGAACAAGTCGTCATGGCGCACTGCACACACTTTCTAGAGTAACTAACGATCTATTAAGAAAAAAAAATAACGCACGGCGTGGCGGGCATTGAACATCTCGGTGTCACTCCGCACTCAATGAGAGAGCCGCTTTAACCGAGAAAAAGGTCGAAAAGCGAATCACGAAACAAGAAGTCTGAACATGAATAATCCACAGCCGAGTTCATTTGCTCGGAGAACAAAGAGACACCCAATCAAAGCGAATGATAGAAGGATCTCAGCAAATCCAAAAGCTCAGAATATGATGAGACAAGAAAAACAATAATGCAATGTGCACAGTGGCAACGAGAATGACCTGTCACTCGCTCAATGTCCCTGGGCACATTGAACATTGCATTTGTCATTTCGAATTGTATTCCGGTCATCGTCATACGCCGCGATCCTTCTATATTTCGCCGCGATTGCCTTTCCTCGTATTTTGCACAAAATGGAACTCGCAGACTAGTTTTTAGAGTGTATAGTTTATTGTGAGATCGGCGGTTTGCAACGCCAGCAGGAACGTCGGCGACCGTCTAGAGTACCTCGACACTTGCTAGCTGCGCCTGCCGCAAGATGACCGAGCAATATAAACGAACATATCGGAATAAGTGTGAGGTGTTTGAAATAAAAAAACGAAGAAAAAACGGGTTTCTCTTATTGCGGAAATAAACTTCGCATTGCCGTATGCTCAGTTTCCGCCGTTACGTATAGTGCTAGCCGCCCGGACCAGAGGCCAAAATGTGAAATTTTGCCCGGTGTGATTAAAAAGTTGTCGGTCATCTTTCTTTTTTTATTTCCTGTGACAAAATAAGCCACGTCTTCTGGAGCGCTCGACGTTCATTTTTGATCTCGCTGATTTTTTCTCTTTTTTTGTCTTTATTTTTTGATGACCTTATCACTCGCAAGAAAAAGTCTGCTTCTTTCCTCTTTTGCTTTTTTTTCGAGCCTGATTCGAGCCGTCATGAGATCGCCATTCTCGAAGCCCCATAAAGCCGATCTCGTGACGAAATAAACCGATCGTTGTTCCGGCAGTAGGGTTGTTCGCTTTTTTTCAGTCAGCAGTTTGTGAAAAAGGTAATTAGCGAGTTCCACGCCAAGCTTTTTCTTTCGCTATTGTAAAACTCACTATTAGCGAGTTCTAAGCAAGTAAACAAAAACTTTGCGTACGCGAAAAAAAAAAATAGCGTACGCTATTTTTCTTTGTAGGACGTGCCCCACCAACGTACACCTCTCACACTTGGACAGCTCCATAAGTTGGACAGTCCAAGGATCCGCTCGTAGTGTCGAGCTTAGCTAGGCTCCGCTACCATTTCCCCTGTCGGTGTGTTTCGATTCGGAAATTATCTGGGCAGCTTCCTAAAAGGTGAACATGTAAAGCTCTCCAATCTTAACAGAAGAAACCGCCCGGTATACAAATCTGTTTTCTTTTTGAACTGTTAACTACGGTGTCTGGAATTCCTTTCCGACTGTACTGTTTCAAACGCACATATCTATGCGGTTCCTTTGGCCTTCACATCGTGACGTCACGGTTGTGGAACGCTGCGGTTTGCCGAGATTCTGGATGTCGCGTCTTCTCTAGTAACTTCATCAACGGCCGGTCCATCTACAGAAAATCACACACACACGCTTGGGAAGCCCCATGAGCATACTAATCATATTGCCCAATTCTTAGTTCCCAAAATTATATAGTCACATTAGTTGCGGAACGATAAGAAGCTGCTTGGAACTCGTCAGTCCTCGAAGTTTCTCAAGCTGCCACTGCTTAAGCTTTTGCAATAAAATCCCATTAAACGAGACCCAATGCCTTAAAAAGTTCTAACCAATCATCTGCTGACAAAAACAAGAATTGTCGAAATAAAACAAACCAAAAAAATGCCGCCCTCTTATTCTTTTAATTCAATATTTATGTAATAAGACACTGATAACTGTTTCATACTTTCTAATCCCGTAGAGTTTACGTCGATTTCAAACTAGCTTAAGTATAAACAGAAACAAAAGTTGTATGCATCCTTTCGGGAGCAGTGTGTCCGGTTTTCTCTCAGTAAGCCATGGCGACACCGCCACATCTTTGATCCGCGCCACACCAGAGAACGCCATCCTCAGTCCCATGGCCATCTGATCCGCACCTCTCTGGGTCCCACCATCTGCCCCTTGTGATGACATGGACGTGGTCCATGTCCGATCTATCGATGCCGCTGACAACCTGCTTGAAGGCGTGGCCTCTTTCCTTCAGGCCCTCGATTAATTCAGCGTCGACGTCGTCTTCCACTGTGAGTGGGTCACTGAAACGAAAAGAAGGGGGATTAATGTACGGAAGCGCGTTAGGAGGATAGGTGCTTGTACGATTGGGCTTAACATGTACCGTACATCCAGATTATTTAATCTGGCTCATTAGAGAATGACAGTAGGGTGCAATCTCAAGACGACACAATTTATACTTTTGGACGTGGGCACTACTTAGCATACAATCCTATACAGGTTTACAAAAGAAACGTGTAAAAGGTAAATACCTTCCTTAACGAAAATAATCCACGGAGTAGAGAAATACGAGGGACAAAAAGACAAACACAATTAGGTTTCCGTCATTCTTGTCCAGCCCGCTTGCACCTTTTCATTTACTTGCATTTTAATAATAACCTTCTTTAAATCGGCATTATCTCCTTCGCGCTACAATGTTAAGGCTTGCCTAAAGACCATAGTGCTCCCACACTAAAAAAAAAAAAAAAATTATCGGCATAAACTATTTGATGCTACGTCACGAAGGCTAGCGTAGCCTCCCGTCCACGGTACTCCTGCTTTGTCAATGCTTTACTTGGTTTCAGCTTACGTCCAAACGCAGCCGACGCTACGATTTAACGGAAGCAATCAATCGGCATGAAAAGAGCGAGTCACTGGGCCATTTTTACCATGTTGAATTAACCTGAGACATGGCTAAACATAGGACGGGCAGACAATTGCCAGGACGACGTCTAAAAGTAGACAGGACGACGGAGGAAGTTCCGGCCTTCAGACGTTGTTCTGTCTATTTTCTGTCCCTTCTACGTTTTGATGGTTCTCTTCTACCGCATGCTCAGCTTAATTCGACGTGGTGAATATTCACGAGCTCGCCCTAACCCTTACTGTATTTTCTCCGGGCCTTTGAGTTTTAGGATTGGTTCAGCGATGATCGAACACGTATAGAAACATGACAAACACAATGATGGTGAGGTTTTAACGCTCTCTGATTGATTTCCTCTGCTCGTAGCGTCGACTACGCCAGGACGTAAAGGGACACTGACAGGGTACTTATGGTCGTCGAGATTTTTAGTTGTACATGGCATATGACAGCCTAACTACCCAGAATACAAGATAAGCTCGGTCTCGGTGGACGCCAGCGACCCAAGTTTCGACGGCGAGTTTCCGAACTGAGTGTTTTAGTAAAACTTTGGCTGGTGGCAACGTTACTAAAACAGTCAGTTGCCAACGTTACTAAAACACTCAGTTGGGAAACTCGACGTCAAAACTTGGGTCGCTGGCGTCCACTGAGACCAACCTAAATACGACAATAGCGCCACTCTATCATTTGTCTGTACTGTGGTCACCTCGAGCTTTTAGAAAGCATGTTTTTGCGTAAAAACAAACGGAAAAGACTCTTTTTGTATAAAATGTATTGGAGTTTAGTACAAAATGATGGGCGCGTGATGTTCTTAAAATCTTTAGGTTGCAGGGTTTTGCGGCACAATTAATATTGTTTTATACAGCCATGCCTCAGCGGTGCTTTCAGGTAGCGCGTCCCGACCAAGGTGCATTTTAACTTCGGTAGTAAGTCGCGGCGCGTCCGCTGGGGAGACGGGGGTGGTACCCCTGTAACCTCTTCCGCCGTATCTGTTTTGGCGCCAGGATGGCCGAATAAAATCAAAATAGAAGTCACGTGCAGTTCCTCGAATGGCCGGTGCGGGAGGTAAGGCGGCGTTGTGTTCGCCATTAGCTCGGTTCTCGAGGACAGATCGGGGCCACCTTTTCGGAGGAGTGTCTATGGCAGTTTCCCAACGGAGTATTTTAGTAACGTTGCCACCAGCGCCCCTTTGGGCCGGAAGTTCCGATGTCGAAGTTGTCAACAAAAACTGCGAGACGGCTACTTTCGACGAGGCTGGTTTATAATTTCAGTTTGGGCGCACCTTGGCGCAATTTCGTTCTAATTTATTATTTTGTATCAGTGTGGCGCATGAAACGTCATTAGGCGCACAATGGCGCAATGGGAGCAGCAGTTCCATCCCTGCAAATCAATCGCACGGCAAGCGGTACCCGCAACGCTGCAATGTCGTCTGCAGCGTGCAAAAAAGAAAAAAAAAAAAAAAAAAAAACAGAGGAGAAGAAAAAGCGCGTTTGGGGGTAGCCTCATATACTTTACTAGGGGAAATACATTCTACTCCGCTCATTTTTTTTATTTTTTCTTTATTGGCTATTATAAAGAGCCATTTGCATTAAACAGAACGCCTACAGAGCCGAATCCAGCCCTGACGGAGGGGAGGTCCGCGTCAGTCCACGCGCATGTGCACGTGGATGTTCGCGGCGGCCGCGGCGGTGTCGTTTCCGATTCCACCTAAAGCCCTTTATGTTTCAAAAGTAGCGCAAGGTGCATTGATGCGCGAGGCACGTGCACGGCGCAATGTGCAACCCTTGGGAACGTGCAACCCAGCAAAGTATTTGGCTACCTCTAGAACACCGTAATTTGGCGGAGCACAGAGCTAGATTTTAGACGCCATGTTCTTCCTAGAAGAGGCGCGCGGCACGTGTCTCGAGTATTTTTGCAACAATGAATTTGGTCCACCCGATAGCTGAGACCTCCCCGACGATAGATGGCTCTCGCCAAGCTCAAAAAAACCTGTCCGCGCCGGGGCTATTCTATTTGAGAGGAGTGGAATGTATTCCCCCTAGTAAAGTATTTGGTATAGCCTTCTGATTTCCGACAGACTCTTCTCCATATTTCTCCGACCTCCGTGCACAGGTTTTGGTTTCGGTTTCGACGAGTTGCGTTTCTTGGCTTTATTAAAAATATACATGACTCTGTAGCAAAATATCGATTGGGTAGTCTTCGGACACCATATTAAATAGCCTAATAAAAAAATTTAAAACAGAAATTGTGGCGGTGTTACCGCTCATTCACACTGGAAGCGGATCCGCATTCGCAAAGCGGTTGCGAACGCGGTTGTATAAAGATCCAGTACAATTGCACGCGCACTTGATGTCATCGAGTGCGCGTGCAATTGTACTGGATATTTATACAACCGCGTTCGCAACCGCTTTCCGAACGCGGGTCCGCTTCCAGTGTGAATGAGGTGTCAGTGCCTCTTTAAGGTGACACAAAGTATAGTTGCGCGCGCGCTGCGAATGATGCGAAAGATGAAACCATGTACTTTTCCAGGAGCACGGGTCTGCAGCGCTGTGGACGTTACGCTCATCTTGGCAATGTAACACGATATGGTTGACGCCGAGTGTAGGTTAAAAAGCCTGAGAGCTAAATGTTCCTGCCTCCCTAAAGAAAGAAACCGCACAGATTGGACACGACAGCAACGTCAGCTCTCGGCTAGGATTTGTGTCCTCGACGATTGAATGCGAGTTCGACAGGGACGCTGACACGGCACTCCTGTCCAATCTGCGAACTCTACCTTGTTTCGTAACGTAGGAAAATTCAACACTAAAGCCTCCATATCTAGCGGGAGTTGGCAAAGCTCCGGTACGCTGAAAATGGTAGCATTGACAAAATAAACGAGCGCAGCAAAACGAGCAACCAAATTAACTTTTCTTAAGGACACTTTTTGTCGTCTCTGAAGTATCTGAAGTTCAGCGAAAGCGCGATGACGTAGTGCGTTGAATTTCTGATTTTGAAAAGATGCGTGGACGCAGTCATCATGAGCCCATTTCTCACTGCCGCCAAATTTGATGTGCAGAGGCCAATGTGGTCTTGCGTTAATGATCCCTACAAACCATACGTTGACATTAGTACACTACATGGTCCCCGACCAGTAAAGAAGTGCAGGGCGTGGCGAGCATCTTATTATCACGGCTTAGCCAGTGAGATCGCGACAAATGCCGAAGAGAATTTGTCAGAATCTCATCGATGAGTCACAGCGGGCGTTCCTTCAGCTATCGGTGACAAATTAAAAGTGTCGTAATTACAGCCGACCGATCAGACGCCGTTTTAGGGCAGGATTAACTCCTACTCCCTGAACACTCGTACTCCATTATTTGTTTTGAATTTCGAAGCAAAAAGAAATTGCTCAGGTAATTGCATTTTTTATGCACCAGCTTTTATTTAGTCCCGGAATCGAAATTGCAGAAACAGAAATTAATAATGCCAATATTTAGTTTGATATACCTATAGTACGGTGCCGGTAGACACAAGGCAACACTAATCTTCTAACACAGCTGAGAAAAAAAAAACGAACATATCAAAAGAAGACACGGGAGACAACGATGACGTCAATCGTACTCAAGCAAGATACATGTACCCAAAGTGGGTACACATCAACTCCCAACCAGATTCCGCACCAAATAGGTGGTATATTGCAGTTTGATAGGGACAAGAACAACCGATAACATAGTCAAGGTGAGCAAGCGAACGACCACTAAGCAACCAAAAATTTTGGTCAACCAACAGCTAGCAGAAAAAAACAAAATATTTTTTATTAAGAAACGTTTTCATATTATTGCCTGGATGAACGGAGATGTTGCTAAAACAATTCGCGCGACTATCAATCATCAACTGAGACAGCACAATTGCTTCAGGAAGAGATAATTCACTAATTCTTAACAATCAGACTTGTCTTTCACCGCTCGTTTATGCTCAATTAACATGTTATTAAGTCACCTAGAAGACGACGAGCGATGAAAAACAAATCCGAGGGTTGAGAATTAAGCAATTATCTCTCTTCCTGTTGCAATTGTGTCGTTGGCTGGGAAAAGTAGTGAGGTGCTCCACAGGGAAGAGGATTGTTGCAAACGCTTAGTGAGAGTCGTTGATGATTGTTAGGCACGCAAATTGTCTTAGGAACATGTCCGTTTCTCTAGGCAATAGCATTGAAACGTTTCTTAATCTATATTTTTTTATTGCTTAAGCATAAGTGCCTGCATGGCAGGAAAATCTGATGCCGTCCGTCTGTGGACAAAACGGTGGAAAGGGAAGTGCGACGCCTAGAGAGGAGGAGAGTAGGGAACGACAAAGGCGAGAGGGATGTGACGTCACGGGGCGGAAGCCAATGCGCGTGCGGATGCCGGAGCGAACCTGAACTTGCAGATGTGCGAAGCGCGTATGCCTTGGTTTGGCCTCCAAAATGGAGTGTGCACCAAGTGGTAGCAAACGACGGATTGTGAACGAAGGACACGGGCTGCCGAAACCGCTGAACAAGAAAACCAGAGTCAGGCATCGGATGCCGCTGCTAAGTGTGCAAAAAGGGCAAACGACACAAAGGACCAGTTCTGATTTTTATATGTGGAATATGTCTATTAATTACTGCAGAAAATGTGAAGCCAAGAGGCCAGGAAATGATGGTCATAATACTCACTCCGGATGAAAGTTGCGGCTCCATCCTATTCTGAGCCGCGGTTTGTCAATCGCCTCTTGGGGGTTTAGACCGTGCTCGACCATGTTCAATAAAACCTGAAAGACGAGAACAATTTCCGTTGTAATGTACTACCTTTTCGGCTAATATAATATTTTGTGTCGTGGGGACTACCATCATTCAAAGCTTAAAAACCTCTGGGCGTGACGAATCTTGGGAGGTATATTGTAGCGACCACGAAGACTGATGCATTAGCGAACGCCGGAGAAAGAATTGCGAACCAAGAAGAGCAAACATAACAACTTCATTAAGCTACGCCCTTCTTAAGTTGTCATTAAGTATAGTGCTTCACAAACTATTTAATAATTTACATTTTTGAAAAAGAGTGCAGGCGTGCAGCCGGAGTTGCAGAGGTGCAGAATATATTGCAAAGGTTTGTTTCTTTGGGCTGAGAGTAACTTCACTCGATTTACCTCCGCCTCCTGCACCTGCGCAGAAAAGTGTAGGGTGATGCACCTCCGGTCGTATCTCAATAGACATACCGGAAGTACACTGCCCTACACTTTTCTGTACCGGTACAGGAGGTGCAGATAAATTGAATGCAGCAAACTGATTAGCATCCCCTCCTATTCCGAACCTTAGAGCGGAACCAATGTTAGATGCTTCCTGGACAAATCAACTGGAGACCCTTTCCGGATTATTTGAAGGGAAACTGAAGCGGTTCTGTACCTGAGTAAAAACACTTAATCCAGGTTCACGAATACTGAGATCATTTTTCAATTCGGTGCACGGAGTCTGCGAAATCATTTTCAAAGTACCGATGAAGACCCTCCTTCCCGGAGCGTGATGTCATAAAAGGGGTCTTTCACGGAATCTCCGATCTCGCGCATTTTGAGCGCCGATCGAAGCTAGGCACGCGCACATTTTCTATTTTCAAAAAAGGTCAGAAAAAGACGTCGCAACTGATGTCAGTGAGAGGAATATACCTGGCAAGCTTGCCATTGCACGCGCTGCCCACACGAGCGACACGCGCTTGGTGGGAGAAAGATCCTTTCAGGACGTAACGACTGGCCATAGATTTTTCGCCTTTCCTCGCGTTTAGTTATATCAAAAGGGTTTGTTGGGCTAGTTGGTTCATGACTGTATAGAAGCGTTGAAGGACTGGGACAATGTGAAGGAGGTAGCGAAGCGTTCCGTGTCGTCGTCGTTACCTCCTTCACTTGGTCCTTGTCCATAGGTGGTTCTCTCCAGTTTAGTTACATCTGCGGAAAAAACGAACATGATATTCAGATATACGGGATAAAAATACGCTAAAATTCAGCTCTAACTCATTTCTTTTAAGAACCTCTTCAGCTCTTTTTTAAGTTCTGCTTGTCCTGACAAATTGAAGTCATTGTAACTCTAGGCCCTTTTATGGTTCAGAAACATCAACCGCTGCATTCGTCCCATGCGACTTCTAGCCTCTCCGCCTTTGCAAGCCCGGCAAGTTTGATAAGTCACCAGTGTTAAAAAGCATAAATGCAACACAAACAACAAATTTGGAGGTTAAGCGATGGCCTTAGCCTGTACGATTCAGCGCCTTGGAGAAGGCAAGTCAGTTTACAAGACATGACAAACATTTGAACAGATGTTGCGCTTTATGGTTGTCGTGGTGTTGACCTGGAGAATCTGCGGTTAGGTGTTTCATTGACATTTCAACCAGCGGTGCAAATGTGAGCTTTCTTGATTTTTTTATCGCGTTTGCAAAGAAAAGGGGCTATAGTCATTAACAGTTGAGGAAACGCCGCGCGTCAGCTGTTCTGAGCATCGCATCGTTCTGAAGCTGTCGGTTAAAAGAGCAAACCTGATGGTTAATCGGTGAGACCTGTGTTTAGCTTAGACGGCGTTAATAGCTTAGAGCGTATTAGAAAATTTTTTTAGCCGAGCTCGGCTTTTAGAACATACGTAATTCTAAACCAAATTTGTTTCTTTAGTGGCACTTTCTTAAATTGCATGGGGCGGATGGAGATCGTCCGAGTCTGCTACGCAGATTTACCAACGCCATTGATCGTTGAACTGCGATGTGTCGGCTTTACTATTCAGCTTAATAACGCCAATAATTTATAAAAGCAAATATACATAAATATATAAAGCAAGAAAAGAGAGTTAATTGCAATGTCCCAGTTGGCGAACGATAGACGGTGCTGGTGGGCGATGGTGTGATCAAAACAAGCCTGGTGGTAACGGCTGGGGGGTCGAGTAATCTTAAAGAATAAGCTGTCTTCGTAAAACATCTGTAATTTAATGTTTTCAACAGCGGTAAATTAAGCACCTCAGACAAGAGAGGCATAGATTCTAGTTAAGATGTTTTGATGTTAGCAATAACACTACAAAATATTATGTGGTTAGATCATAAAATAGAAACCAATGTATTTCTCATTTTAATTCCCAGAGCCTACTTCGTTTTGTGGAGTTTTGTTTTAAAAACAATATTGACTTCTAAAGCGTTATTCCTACAAAATGTGTCATGAAGTCCGCTCCCCTTGTGGAGGTGTAACCGCCTGTGTCGAAGCTGGTACATGATTTCCCAGATTTTCATCAGCTTCTCAAGCGGACATCCAGTGAACCAACATTGTACTAATTCAGTGTACCTTGAATTGGGCTCACTGTTAAGCAGAGTAGTTACCTGCAGGATTGCTTGCGGTTGTGCACTCCCTCCCACTGTACCAACTAGAGACAGCAGTTTTCCTGAGGAGCTGTCTGTGACCAACACTGGCATCAAGCTGTGAAAAGGCTTCTTGCATGGTGCTGCGCAGTTGGGGTGTCCAAGCATTGTGTTGAAACCATCGCCACGTGCCTAGAAGTACAAGTTCCGAAGTAGATCGAGAGTCACTTTCAAGGATCACCCCATCTACAACACGCCTTGTTAGTATACGAGCTTTGCGCGGGGAATATCGACGTGTATTCTGCGTCTTACTGAAGCTTGGAACAAATAAGAACAATGGCGATGATAGCCAACGCAAACACACAGCTACTGCATGATGGCAAATTTTAAATGTTAACAAGAGATTCACTTAGTGATCTTTGTACTCGCACACAGATTTAAAAAAAAAATGCAGTTTTAGTTTCAAGTGCTAAAAACAAAGAAAGAATGAAATATAGAGGTGTCACAAATAAACGCAAAAAACAAACAAACGAATGTGCACTGTTATTCCACCGTATATTCTTCTACAACATACACATATTACTATTAGAGTTTCTATAATCACTGACAAGGTGAGAGCTATAGAGCGCCTCTTTCGAACGACCTGCATACAGCATGCGTTCGTTGCTTTTCGTTGTGTTTTGAATGCGCGTGCACATTGAATGCTCACTATAAAAAAAAACACTTCATCTCACCTTAGTATAGTCTATTGTTGGCCGCGCATGCTAAAAGCGCGAGCTAATCACTTTGGATAACGCCTCGACGGCTGCACAAGCGCTCGTGCAGCTAGTGCTTTACTGAAGCCAGTCAAGGCTAGCCGCTCGCGCTTGCAAAGCTTTCGCAGTTAGTCCATGCTAAGGTGAGACGAAATATACACGCCGAAGCGTTACTAAAGGTCTCGCGCTGGAGGCGTGACAACTAAAAATTTCCGCATACACACCGCGACACTGTTAGCGAAAACTCGCCACCGCCGCTTCCCCCCCCCCCCCCCCCCCCCCTGTCCGTATGGGAGGAGTGTAATCAAAATTACCATAGTTGTGGAAAGCACTCAGCTTAGGCATTATACCGAGGTGGTAAATTGTGATGCTCGCTTGATACCTTTGGAAGTAAAATGCAAAAAAGCGCTGAAGTCCTGTTCGCGCCAGACTTGTCACGCACTGAACAAAACGCATGTCCATAGATGCTCAAGGGGGATTCACTTTGTCACACATGTCTAATGTCTACTCTTTTGAGGGGCTCGAGTTGAAGCGACGTGACTTAGATCTGCATATCTGCTCTTCTAACATCATTTTGTCTAAACTCCAGAGGCTATAACTACATAGTTTTTCCAGTATTATATAAGAAACAAACTCGAAACCATAAGGGCCTTTAAAATGAAGAATATAACCGGCGCTCAAGGTGTACCCGTTCAAGCGCGACCTCGCCCTTTCATTGCCTTACACTAGAGGGTTGTCCCCCAGGCCAATAAACTATAGTCACTGACAGGATGGAAAGGGCAGGGTAAATTTTCAGTTGTCTCGCCTCCAGCGCGAAACCTCTAGTAACGCTTCGGCGTGTAGTGAGCATCGAGTGTGCACGCGCATTAAAAAAAAACGGAAAGCAACGAACGCGTGCTCTAAGCAGGGCGTTCGAAAGAGACGCTCTATAGCTCTCACCTTGTCATTGACTATAAAAAATCGAATTGTAATATGTTTATGTTATAGAAGAATATATAGTAGAATAAGTGCGCACATCCGTTTGTTTGTTTTTTGCGTTTATTTCTGACACCTTAATATTATATACTTTCTTTGTTTTTTGCCAGCCTATGTTTAAGTTAACGGGACTTTCGAATGTGCCGTCCATACTGACAAGACCAAAAAACTTAAGGCATTATATTGAATAGACGGGCAGTGTAAGCCTTACGTGTACTCCGAATCCATACTCTGGGACAGTGGTACAGCCAAAGGGATGAGCGATGCTAGTGATGAAGGAGCATGCGTTTCCCCAGGGGTCCACAGCGGCCATGAAGGTAGTGCCGCCCTGTTTACCATTGGGCAGGTCCTTCGAGCAGAGGGGCACGAACCTAGCGGATTAATCGGAGCGTTATTAAGTGGTAAAAATGAGACGTTGTTTACACCATAGCATGTTTTGTTTCGTCTTCAAGTTGTTCGTTTAGAAAGAAAACATCTCTTGTGAACGTCCATAGCCAGCACCAAGTAGATAACTTCAAGGCGTTCGCAGTGCCTCCGCTTTACGGCTGTGACGTCACTACAGTGACATTTCACGAAAATCGGAGGGAGTGGGCGGATAGCCAACGCCATCTAGTGACATAGTTAGTGCCACAACGTGGCATACCTTGGATAAGCATGCCTTGAAAGGAAAATAATGCTGGAACTTCGGAACAAGCGGAGTTCACGTTTCTGCCAAAGACTTGCTTCTTCGAACCTCTGAAGTAGCTCAGCCTCCTTGTGAAACGTTGCTCGGCGTTCAACCTCGAGCAGTTCCCCGGAATCGAGCATCATCGTAAGCCGAGCCTGTAGATGCTTCGATAGTGAGCTTCACCCATCACCGTTAGAAGAAACAGATATTTAAAGAAGAACGAACCCGATATATGTGCCATGATGCCCACAGCCTTACCTCTCGACATCAAGGAGTTTTTTCCTCTTCTCGCCATGGTCCTTCCGTATCAGTTGGTCTATATTCGAGAACTGTGGATCGGCAACGTGAAGCAAGCCGTCTTCTGAGGCCAACCTCATCGCTTCAATCACAAGGTGATAGTATTTTGCTGGATTCAACTTGGTAGCTAGGAAAAAAAAAAATATTTTTATTACTATTATTTTACTTGTGTAGGTGGCAAGTCATAGTAACTGTAAAGGCCGGGCCACATGATGCGAAAAACGACCGACTACACTGCGGAAGCCACGAACGAAATTCGAACGGCAGCTAGGCTTCTCCCCTTGCGAAAATCGGAAACGATTTGAGATCCAGAGCGCAAGATATTTTTCGGACGAAGCCTCCAATTTTCGAACGGCTTGGCGCAAAAAAACCGCGACGAGCCTTGAAGAAATAGTAAAGCATTGCGATTTCTGTGTGCGTGTGTGTGTGTGTGTGGGGGGGGGGGGGGGGGGGGGGGGGGGCGGGATGCCTCATGTAGCCCGTCTTCCGAAAATGGCGTACAACAGTTTTTCAATGGTCCGATTTCCGTCCGATTCTGTGTCTATATTTTCGCATCATGTGTTCCAGCCTTCACTTACAGTTAAAACTATGGTAGAAATAAATGTATTGCCCCTCTGTACCGATCTCCTACTATTTCTAGTAGAGTAGAACGGTTTAATCATCATATTTACAAGGTGAAATTTACATGCTTTCTTTTATCGGCAATTTGCAAACTCCATTCAATTTTAAACTTCTTACTCTGTTTAGAACTAATTACGTTACGTACAGCTTCTTTCCACAGCAGTAAAAATAGATTTTACAAACATACAACTTTATTTGTTATTTATTAAGGAGATTAAAAGCTGGACTTCACTTCTGGGCAATATTGGAGTTACGAACTCTATGGTTTCTCGTTTGAGGTCATTAACATTTTGAATGCGTAATGACGTCATGATGCAACGAGCATGAGCCTCTTTCTTGCTAGGAGAACTCTGTATAAGGGTTTATCGCCAAGGTACATAACTCATAAAGCCATGGAGATACCTAACTTTACCTCAATGTCTATACCTTAATGAAGGTTCACATGCAGCGAAACGACGCGTTGTGCTTTTAATTATTACTAAGAATCGGCTTGAACTTTGTCACGTGCGGTATAGAATAACGTTTTTGGACAATCTGCCACATTTTTACGTTCTATATTCGTCCCCCTCTTACGAACTAAGACCTCTGGAGTTGGTCTTGAGATAAGCAGCTTCTTATTGGTGTCTTTGTGCGTAAAGAAAATCCTGTTCTAATTTTAGATTGTTGGCCCCGCTTATTTATTCCGAAAAGGCTTTTAATATTAATTAAACACGAGCGGAAATATGAGACGCCAAAGGACACCGGTGCTGTAAGTTTCAATTGGCAAGGCATAAGCCCCAAATGTTTGAACTTCCCGGTAAAGGCAAATTCATCTCATTGTTTTTAGTGATGGCACGCAATGACGATCGAGAAACACAAAACTAATAATCATAAAATTAATCAAAATAAGCGAACGCGAAAGAATAAAAATGAACAAGAAGAGAAAGGACCATGAAAACGAGGAGGAGGTAAAAGAAAGGAAGGTGAAGGAGAGAACAAACGATCACAGTCAGAAGAATACCTCCAGGCTAACTTCTCTGCTTTCTTTTATTTCTCTAATAAAAAATGGAAGGGGAGGAGGAGGAACAGGAAAAGAAGAATAAGAGGGAGAAGTAGGAGAGGAGGAAGTAGAGTGATATTTGTTTTAATTCACATCTTGCTTCGCTTTATGTGCCATGGAGCTTTAGATCAGACGAGCAAAACTCTAATTATGATAACAGTAGTTTTTTTTCTATTCTGCTTTCATGGCTGCGTAGGTATACATGCCAGTTGAACGCACGTTCAAGATCGAATAGCCCGAGGATGTTGAGGGCGTCCAACAAAATGGCCCCCTGGGTCGGCAAGGGCGTCATGTGCACTGTCGTGGCTCTATAGGTTGTTGAAATGGCTGGCAAGACCGTCGGCTCGGAGGACTCGAGGTGTTTTCGCAGGTCATCCAAGGTCATGAGTCCTCCGACCTCCGCCACCGCCTCCACGATGTTTTGGGCCACGGGACCCGTATAGAGGGCGCTGGGACCTTCGTCCGCTATCCTCTGTGAGCAGAGACGGCCACAACTATACAGCGTGTCCTCGAGTGCTATTTGGGGGCAAAAAAAAAGTTAGAAATAAACCAACAAGCAGAGTACAGTCAAACTTTCCACAAAGATGTCTTATAGATTATGCACTTGTTATACCCCACTTTAAGAAAAAAACAAATAGGCAAAAAATAAAAATACTGTTCTCAACTCGAACACCCTATAGATGGCGGGGCGGTAGTTCCAATATAGCGGAAGAGACGGGGATATTTTTTTTTTTCAAATTTCCCATGCGCCTGCTTGCTGATGCATGTAAGTGTGCGAAAACTCATTTATTTGACTACACATGCGAAGCGGTCAGGGTAGCAGCACAGTGACGGAAGTGACGTGCGTGAAGGAAATGAGCACGTTGCTTTTTAAAGGTTGCGAAGCGGATCACAACGATTTATATCTTAAGCTGCTCACATTTTCCGTTAAAACTGCATGATGCACCAACATGCCTACCAGAACCATGCGGCAACAGCAACACTAAAGCCGACAGTCTCCGCCACCGTCTCCGCGCCGTCCTCGCTGCTCTAGTCCTTCGTTCGTTCATGGGAGTGCGAGCGGCGGGCTGGAGTTGGGAATACAACAGGGGGAACACACTTGGATCTGCTGGATCTGCTGTACTTTTGAGATGCTTTAAAGTGTTTGTACAATGAGGTGCTTTATGTCAATCTACGCTACTCTTCGGCTTTCGCCTCGTACATATATAGGTTATATATGAGCGTTATAAATGCATCTCAAAAGCAGTTATATTCCGACCTAAGAATAAACGTATTAATATTACCAAGAATATTTTTATAAATTCTTCTCAGATAGAAATTGTTCCCGCGTTTAAAACTTTGGGCGTTATTTTTCAAGAAAACGTGTCATGGGACGACCATAATAATCATATCGTATCAAAATTATCTAGCATCGTCGGTATTCTCAATCGTCATAAACACACTCTACCACTTAGAACAAAGTTAATATTATATAATTCATTATCTTATTCACATTTAAATTATGGTCAACTCATATGGGGCACTACTACCTATACCAACCTTCACAAAAGTTTTATGTTACAAAAAAAGATATTAAGAAGTATCTCTAAAGTGCCATTACATCCAACCGATGATCTCTTCAGTAAAATTGCTGTGATGACAATTTTTGATTTATATAAATATCGTTTATGTGTAAGGTATAAAATAGAAACAAATTTATCCCAATATCACATTAAAACTTAGCGAAGCTAACAGATAAAATTTATAGATACCCAAAACGAATTAAGGAACCTTAGGAAGTACCCTTTTTAGAAAAAACTACGGCCACCAAACTTTAAAATATACTTTGCCGGCTACCTTTAACCAGCTCAGTAGGCAAGGTATTGAGCTCAGCAATATATCGGTGAGCATCTTACGGGAAATGTTTATTTCAAATGTTTATTTCGAGCCACATTGTCCGCAATAAGCGCTAAAAAACTCTTGAATCGACGTTTTCTTTCGCGTTTATTTCAGTGATGTCCTGATGTTCTGTGTATGTTTTCACTATTGTGTAAATTGTATCAATATGCTACTTATCTTGTATAGCGTCAGCTCTTTTTTTAAGTTTCTCAAACATGTAGTACACATGCCATGTTTTAATTTTGTGTAAATCTTGGGCGCCTGCATCGCGACTGCTGGTATAGGTGGCGCGGGGCTCGTCAAGCTCTTTTTACAGCTTTTTTTCCCGCGTCACCTTTTCAACATTGTATTTTGTTGGAAAAAATAAAGGTACTATTATTATTATTATTATTATTAAAAACAAGCTTTTCTCTTGCATTTGTTGTGAGAAAGCTACGCTCACAGAATATGAGCGTTATAAATGCATCTCTTAAAGGCGTTTTTGTAAAAAAAGTTTCATTGCGCTCAGTGTTTTGGCTCATTTACACAAATATTTTTTTACGTCCGAACAGTGCTCGGAAGCACCCCGTGGTTTCATTATTCACTAGGGATTGATTTGGGGGAAAAGTCTGATAGATCACCGAAATATGAGAGGCAGAGTAAATCTGGCCACCGCTAACAAAGACTGGGGGAGGACACCTTGGAGCCATGTCTGCATCATGTGTTAAGTGAATAGACGCCAACTGCTCGAATGTTTTTGCATTTGTGGCTTCTGATTTCAGACGTTCGTGGGTTCGCGAATAAATTATTATGATTTTTGAACGGAACTGTTTCGTTCGAAATCACAATATGTTGTTCTTCACTCAAAAAAAAAAAAAAAGCCCGTGCGTCTACTCTCCTGCACAACACTTGGAGAGCAAATCACCGCAACTTATGAAGGCAGCTCAGTGAATGACGATGCCGAAACATACGTTTAGACCAAAAAACGCCGTCTGAGTTGTGACATTAAGCAATGCAAAACGTCACGCTTGCATTGCTTAATGTCACAACTCAGACTGCGCTTTTTGGTCTAAACATAGGTTTCTGCATCGTCATTCGCTGAGCTGCCTCCGTAAGTTGCGCTGATTGGCTTTTCAAATGTTGCCCAAGAAAACAGACGCACGGGTTTTTCTTAGAGTGTTGTGGGGAGAAGAGTTATTCTTGAAAATCTACACCCACCCGCATCTCTCGAATCGATACCCACATGAGATTCATTTAAAACTGCTCTTATTTGCAAGTGTCTTGGGGTTATGTTTAACGACGTTTTCTCCTTATTCTTATTATTTTCATATGCTGTTGCTCTAGTTGCCGCGTTCCCTCTGTAACGCCCCGTGAACCCTAGAAGTGTTGTTATAAATAAACAGATATAAAAAACTTTAACCACGCCACACAATCGCCCGTGGATGACCTATGATCTGACAAACCTTCAGCAGGCCTTCCATTGGGACGTTGTTCAAAATGTCTCCAGGAGACGGAACGGTCTCCCCGTCGATAAGATAGGCTCTTCCACCGTGCATCCTCAGCAGTTTAGGCTTGGCTCTCTCCCATAACAAGGCCCCCGGAAGGCTGAGGGGAAAACCTTCTTTTGCGAAGCGAACGGCAGGCTCCAGGATCTCTGGCATGGAGAGCTGAAAGGTGTTTTCAATCCACATCAAACTTCAAACTATGGCGACGCTTTAAAGCTGGTCATTCAAGGTCACGTTTCTACAGCAGGTTCTTCCGTTTTGTTTTCTTTTCGGACAGGGGCCAAAAGAGGGGCCAGTAAAGGAGGCTAAGAAGCCTGACGTGGCACCGATTTCTTGTAATTCAGATGGGTATATAAGCTGAATGGACAAAAAGATGCATTCATACGAAACTTACAGACTCAAAATGATCGGCATCTTCCTGATGATATATAAATATCAAGAAAAGAATCACCACAAAGTACTCAAGAGGTCAGAATAAAACACAAAGTTTTGAATATGTGAGCAAAAACAAATAACGCAAAACCTTTAAGAGTGTGAAGAGGAAAAATATTCATACCCACACATGTTATTTTTTTATTTACGATACGATGTGGCGTACATTTTATTGAAATTTGCTATCCCTGCCTATTAGTTTTCTGCATTATTTTTGAATAAAGTAGGTAATTTTGTTAAGTTTATATCGGGTGAACTATTATTAGGTTAAATATTGTATATTGTGAACCTTGCATTCGGTAATAAATCCGGGGAATCCTTCGTGCACCATGACGCAACGTATACAACGAGGCTCCTGTTTAGCCGGCAGTAACAGAAAACTTTTGCTCTAAACATTGATATGTGAGGTTTTTATTAGACTGGCTATAAATGTGTCATTAATAACTTCCTAACCGAATATTTGACTAAGCTTCTGGGAATTTTTTTGTGTAAAGCCTGTCATTTAATAAATAACCTTCGCGGCAAATCGTAGCTTTTAATTAACGCCTCATTTTAATCACTCAGACTGCCCGACAAAAAATTGTTTTATTACAAAGCACAAAGGAACCAGAATAAGGTAGAAGTTTCTTATTATCTCGCAGCGAAAACGATTTAGAAATTTATTAGGAATTTATGTTTGGTGTTCCTGTACTTTCGCATATGCTACACTCTGTTACACCATCTCAGTTATCTTGGCTGTACGGTCTCCCTGCATTTAGCACTTGTGGCCAAGATAGTAAAGTGAACAAGTTACGACGATATCTGCGGCTGTTTTTTTTTTTTATTGCGTTATGAGATTCGGAAATGTTTTGTAAGCTAGAATTGCAGGACTCGTAAGCATGTGGCAAAAGGTGATTGTGGGTATCAAGGCAACTTTACAAAAAGGGTCGACTAGAATTCGTTTCGTTAACTAAAAAAACATAATCGTTGCATTACTATTATGAATCTGTTGACTCACTTCTAAATTTATGGGGAACACAGCACGAACTAAACGGGTGACAGATTTCTTCTTTTTTTTCTTCTAATATGTGGTGAGCAAGTTGGCTTCATCGCTTGAATGTTCAAAATTTATAAACACAGAATTGCAAAGGTGAAAGCCATTTGAAAGGCGTATTCCACTGAAAGCCTGAGTGTAAACATTTTAAATGGTAACGGCAATATAGTCCTCTGTGGTATTGTCACTATCACTCGTTCAGGAGCCACAGGATATGCCATCGCCTGGCGAACACTTCCTTCGCATTAGAACACCATGGCTGGATACTACTGAGTTAGATACATTACCATTTAATTATAATAAACTTATGGTACTATTGAAATGTTTACCTAAAAAGAAAAATTGGCGCCTCAAAGAGCGGGACAGAGAACAAGACGGCACGGAGAGCTAATTACAACTCTTGTCCTCTTGTTCTCTGTCTCCGTCTTTGAGGCGCTTATTTTTTCTTTCGTGCACCACCTAGCCGAATTGTTCATTTTGCTGTAATGTTTAGCTAGCCTCACCTTTGCACTTCCGAAGTGCTCCACGGTCTCAAACCAGGCCTTTACCGCTCCCGGTACCGTGGCTAGGAGACCCCGGGAATCAGCTTTGATGAATCCATCGGTTTCCGCAGCCATCAGGTGCTCTTCAGTCAAAGCAGCGGGGCTCCTTCCGCTACGAGGTTGATTGAGCAATGATTTCAGCATCGTGAGTCTCGAAACCTTCGCGCTTTTGAAGCATTTTGAATCATTTCATTTGAAATATCTCTAAGAAATATCTTTTTCTGTCTATGTGAAGGTACCCGACTATCCTTTAGATATTGCTTTTGCTATAGCACACATATTTAATCGCTTTGGTTTGTTTCGACACCAAAATATTTGTAGTGTGGTTTTTCGAGGGGGCTAAAAATAAAGCAGCACGACTAGAGGCATATTAATCAAAGCCACCCACTTCGAATACTTGCAGACGAACTGTCGGTAACGTTATTCGAGCGTTCACATGTTTGTTCAATTATGTATGCATTTACGACGTAGAATTTCCAGGTTTTTGTTTTCGTGCAAAGGACATATTTTAATGATTCAGCTAATTTTATTTTATAGCACTTCAAAATTTCGATGCCATCTGGTGTTTCTAGACGATTTTCTGGCAAGCATTTCTTTGCAGAAATATTTTGGACAGCATTCTTTCGTAATTTATAACGATTCAAGATAGTGTTCCTCTTCTGTCGAGGCGTCGTCCCCCATTTCCATGCAGTATCTACCCTTTAAAGGCTTGTGATGAAGCACCCACTCGTGTTATCGTACCTACAGACTACTCATCCACGGCCAGAATGTCTCATTTGTTCCTCGTAAGAACAGAGCGAAAATGATTAGACGGTAAATTTTTATATTTTTAGAAATTAAGAAAATTGGTTTGTCTCGTATGAAGATCAGAGATCGAGATTTTTGGTTGAATTCATTTACAACTCGCTCTCATGAGAAAAGTTCAAGCTCACTCACCCTCTCCCTCCCGGCCACACTCACATTCAGGTCCTCACTCACAAACTCAGATACTCGTGAACTTACCGAGCTCATAAACTCGCCGAACTCAAGAACTCACGCCCATCACCAAACTAATGAACTCATCGAACTCACACCCCTCACCGAACTCATCAGCTCACCAAACTCTCGAACTAACGCCCCTCGCCGAACTCACGAACTCACCGAACACATGAACGCAACAAACTCATGAATTTACGCCCATCACTGAACTCACGAACTCACCGAACACATTAACTCAACAAACTCATGAACTCACGCCCCTCACCGAACTCACGAACTCACCGAATTCATGAACTCACCAAACTCATGAACTCGCGCCCCTCAACGAACCCACCAAACTCACAAACTCACGCTCCTCATCAAACTCATGGACTCACTCTCGCACCGACCTAACTCACTCGAAAGTAGTTCTCGCGCTCACCGTATTCGAAGCGCTGGCGTTCGTGCTGCGCGCTGATTACGCGGCTTCTACAACTTCTCCACGGTCGCTGCCGCCTACCGCTGCTTCGCGCCAGCCGTCACGTCGCCAAGTGAATAAATGTTTTCTAGTTTTGTTCGTCTCGCTTCGATTCCTTCCGCTCGCGCGGCAGCCGAGCGCTTGAGGAAGGCGCGCTTTGCTGGCATACAAAGGTGCATCATCCCGGGTTTCGGGAAGAAGTATTATTTGCGGTGTGCAATGTTTGTTTCAAGCATTCGCGACAACTTCGGGCAAGTACTGAGTGAGCGCCTGCATCGCTGTTTACTCAAATGAGTAGCATTGTTATTCCAACGCGCACCACCGCGGGATTGTACTTTATTTCTGCGTAGCATATTGCGAAATTCTCATTAATGGCAGGACGGTTTGCAAGGCAATTCATTGTCGAGTAGAAGTATTTCAGGACGGTATGTTTGTATATTTATCATCGTTCACCCAAATTATTTTACCTAAAATAACTGGCTGGTGGATATAGTTTTTCTTGTAGAATGAACCATTGAAGAACTTTGTGCGCGCCATATTATGGTATAATATTTTTTTTATCGTGTCTCTCGTTTTCTGTTGTGCGCAGATACCAATTTAAACTGGAATGTTTTAAGTTACCGACTCGGTGCCTAGTAAAACGTTATATTTTATAGATCTTGACATAAAATCGTCAGATGCCTACCGTATTTGTGTTGTTTAGACAATGTTTGCTTGTATTAAAACTTGTCAATACGTTGAGTACGAATTTTGACAAAATACATGCACACAGTCGCGTTTTCTGTTAAAATCATTTATTATTTCTAATGGATGGAAACGTTTAATTGCTATTCACTAATTTGAACAAATAAACATCCCACTGGTGTAAGCGTAAGTTATTCTACCTTGTATATTTAGATTACTTAACTTGTAACTACCGATAGCCTAATGCGGATAGCCAGGCTATGTTTGTGGAGGGGGAAAGGCGCGCTCATGAAGCCTAATTAAAGGCTCTACATTTCTTCGAGATGTGTTTTGCGAAGTACAAAAACATTGGGGCGCTTAATCTTTTCCGGCGGGTAAGTTTGCTTCCGTACACGCATGCACATGCACAGATATCAAATATTTAGTTTTATTACTTAGGATTGTTTCTTACACCTTCCCCCGTCTTAGTTACTCGTATAAATATAAACCGTGTTATTAAAAAGACAAATAGCGCTCCTCCTAGAAAACGACTGAGATATGCACCTGAGTAGGTGCCGGTTGAGAAATAATAATATATAAAAAACATAACTAATTATGAACACTATAGGAGCAATTAAGAAAACACTTTCTCCGACCCGCGAATCGATTTAAGGTGCAGGCAGTATTCCGACTACGCTCAACGGTCCCCTCTTAAGTGAATAATGGGGTGTCAAATAGCAGGTTAGAAACGTCGATTTCTTATCGCGAATATTGAGTGAAACTAAAAAGATCGCTGCATATCGCATTTAATATAATCTAGAAACTTATCGTCTTCAATTGTCTACGGCAATCCACAATCAAATTAGTGTTTACACGCTACCGAGTAAATATAGCAGCCTTTAAACCGAATTGCGAACAAGTCCGGCGCTTCGAACGTACTCGAACACAAAGACGTGTATGCGTGCTTTTTTATACCGAGTTCTAGGCTACAACTAGGACAGAGAAGCATATCATGATGATATAGAGGGCAAAACAACAATCTTGTTGTTTTGCGCTATATATTCTCATATCGTACAACCAACTAGCCCACCAGATTGTCTCAAAACAAGCATAGAGGCGAATCTCGACAGTTCCCAGCAGGCCTTCCTTTTAATATTGGATTCACTATTGGCAAACGCGCATAAGACGAGCGCACTCCAGATAGCAACATCTGCCTTCGGGTGTACTGACGTAGCGGCCGTCGGCCTCCTTCACGATACAACAAAATCCCGCTCGAGTACCGGTACCTCGCAGCCTACAGGAAAGCGGCCGACGCGAGCGGGAGAGTCTGCCCTGTCTCTCGTCACCCTGCCACGAAGCAGCGACCAGCGGCAAAAGACCACGCCAAGCCGCCGAGAAACAAGCCAGAGCCGAAGAGCGGAGATTAATTATTAGGCACCACTCCTCTCTCCTTATAACTCGCAGACAAACAGCCGTTCGAGCTAACAGCACCATTGCGAAGCGAGCGTCGATTAAACTTCCCCGGAAATGCACGGAGAAGTCACATGACCCGCCCTTCCTCGATGTCACCCCGCAAACTTTCATCAAACCCGCGGTCCCTGAGGAACCTTATGCCTCGGCAAGCTTATGACCTCACCGACCTTATAAACTCACCAAACTCATGCACTCACCGACCCCCATAACTTACGTCATTCACAAAACGCATGCACGCACCGACCTCCAGAACTACTTTCACCGAACTAATGAACTCACAGACCTCACGAATTCACGCTCTCACCGAACTCATAAACTCATCGAACTTATGAACTCACTTAACTATGAACTCAATGAACTCATGAACTCACCGAACTCACGCCCCTTACTGAACTCACGCCCCTCACCGGACTCCCCACGTCCCTCACTCAAAATCAAACTCACGAGTTTTCGAGGCTTATGAACTCACTCGCCCTCACTTCACACCTGATCGGTGAGGGTGAGTGAGGTGAGTGAGCGCAATCGGGATGAGAAAATACTCCCAGTCGGACGCTGACGCAGAACTCATATCCAATCTCCGGCCCGTGCTGGCCTCCATTAGGTGACGTATAGGCCGAGCCCGGCGGCCTTGTTACCTAGGGGGCATCGGTGGGGCCTACCTTCCGTCAAGGCAGCGTATCGTGCCGGTGGAAGCGTCGTAGAAGATTCCGAAGCAGTCTCCGCCGACGCCAGAGGCAATGGGCGACACCACTTGAAGGACAGCGGCCATTGCCACGGCTGCATCGCCCGCGCTGCCTCCCCTTCTCATCGTCTCTGGAAAACAGACGGTGCCATGCTAGACGTAGGCTGGTAGAGAGCCTACGTTTCAAATAGTTTCCAACTGCTCGACCGGATCACGTGACCTTAAACACTAGTTGATCGAGTGTACTATCGGGGAAAAATGAAATGCGAACAGAGGAGCGCGTGGCTCGCGGTACAGGCTGCGCCGCCTGGAAGTGAGCCTAGGGGCGAGGGTGCGTGGCCTACTTTGATGTGTTCACGCCACTCGATTGGCGCTTCCCCAGCTTCGGCAGCGCGCCTCTCAGTGCGCTGAAAGCTGTCACCACTATCTTTGCCTGCTCGGCGAGTGCGGCGAGCTTTTTTGCACCGCACGCGCTGAGCCAGCAAAGATAGCGGTGATAGCTTTCAGTGCACTGAGAGGCGCTCTGCTGAAGCTTGGGGAGCGCAGAGGGAGGGGCTTGAACACGTCGGAGTAGGCCACGCACCCTCGCTCCTAGGCTCAATTCCAGGCGGCGCAGCCTGTACCGCGAGCCACGCGCCCCTCTGTTCGCATTTCATTTTTCCCCGATAGTACATATGTTTCACTTTAAAATGCGTTATTCGGGCGTTTTAATTGAAAACTTCGTTAATAAGGACCACTCAAAGACACGAAAAGGCATGGACCAAAACATCGACTGAATACCCTAGGAGGTCCAGCAGACGCCCGACTTCCGGTACAAGCATCGAACTTGCGGAGGCTTCACTTGCGCCCGGCTCGGAGAGAAGCTATGCGCCGGCGCCATCCAGCCCTCTATACGCCTCGCAAGTTGGCTCATTTTCGTGGTCTGCGCATGAAAAAGGAAGTAGAGGTGACGTCAGAACGCCGAGCCCTGATTGGCTGATCGCGACCCCCCTACACACTTAAAATTTTTACACCCTTATTCGTGTAAATGGCTCGTCCTCTGGCTAACGCCTTTATTCGTGTAAGGGTGTTAGCCGCCGGAGGTGGTGAAAATCGTGTTAACTGCTAACACCCTAAAAACAATATGGCGGCCAGTATGCGACAGGCGATACGAGCCTGGCGAGCCGTACGCGTCTTCTCGCCGGAGCAAGAGCATACGGCTCGCACGCTCGTTTGGTGTCATCTGTAGGCGCAAAAAACTTTCCAAACATCTCTATGTCCAAGCGCCAACACCGCAAATAATACGAGTAAGGCCGAAACCGCTGGAGAATGAACAGCCAAAACTGTCGCCGAAGTCTCGCTCGGCCTGCTCGATGCCGGTCGCATTTTCATCGCATCAGAAGCGCTTATAAGGAAGGGATAGCTTTACAAAACACTGACAGGCTGGCTTTATTGAACAAAACACCCACTTGCCGTGGACGACAAGTTGACAACGAATCGCTCCGACACCCTCTGTCGACAGCGGCTAGGAGGTATCGCACTCGCGCTCCGTGTGGCTCTCGATTAACTATTGCCTGTGCTCACCTCTGTTACGTGCGTTATCCACTCATGAACGCTTGTGCGTGAACAGCGGCATTCAGCACCTAGAACACGCGCTGGGGAAGCCGCCTAACCTCCTTTTGTTGCAATCAGGCAGCATAACACGACGACACAGCTACCAGCGGAACCGAACAACTCGGAGCGATCAACACGACGGATGGACTAATGGCATCCAGCCCTCCAATAGTTATAGACCACCAACCGGCACACTTTTCAAATTGGGCGGCGACAACCCCCATCTAGCGACGAAAAAAAAAAGTGATCAACATTTGGAAAAAGAAAACAGCAGATTTTTTGCTGCCCACCGCGCGGTTACATTCACTTATGACAGGGACATACACACAACACTGTACACACACAAGGGCATACAAGCAGTGATCAACTGCACAATACACAACAGATAGCAAATACATCCTACTTATACAAACCAACAAGTGCCCCGAGCGGTATATATGCCCTCCTATTTCGCGCATCGGTTAGCCCGGTGACCACGCTGGTCTTAATCAAGATATGAAAAGATTACGCCAATTTTATTTTTCAATAATATTTTTTCTGTATTTGTCTTAGGTAGGTACACATATCCCTTAATAACTTCTTACAGCATAATGTATTATAATGATACGCGCCTAACTTCTAATAACTCAACGTGAGTGACGAGAAAAAAAAAATCGTGTGAATTCTGTCTGGCAACCACACTCGCGGCGTGGTTGCTATGGCGACGCTGTCGGTACGCGCGCCGGCAGCCGTCCAGCTGGTTCGGCCGTTCGGCTACGGCCGAGTGCGCGAGTCCACGGTGAACGCCGCGAACGCAATCGAGAAAACAAAGTGTCGACTACTGAAGCTGTACTACGTAATCTAGTTTCCGCCCGTTCGCTGCCGAATTCTTCGTAGTCTTCTTCCGCCCGCTCGAAAGGGAGCAGCCTACCAGTCCGATTACCGCCGTGGCTTCAGTGGCTTCATCTTCGGAGGGAACTGTCAACTGAATTAGTTCCAAAACGCGGGTGCAACAGGCAGCGCAACGTGGCGCGGTCCACGCACGAAGTCGGTAAGTAAACAAAACACTCAATGCCGTTCCATTCTTTTTTTTTTTTTTTTTTTTTCTACGGGGGCGCGCGGTGTTTCTGGGTGGCTCAAGGTATGGGAAAGCAACCGGAAAAATCGGCGCCTGATCGACCATGGGGTGAAAATTTCAAGGCGTATCGTATGCAAACGACAGCGTTTGCCGGTGGAAGACTCGGTCGTCCGTGGCGAAAGCATTTTTAGTATTTTTAAGGATGTTCTAGCTGCAAAAGAAAGGAGCGCCTTAAAATTTCACAAGGTAAAATACACTGCTGAGGAAACGACGCCCCTTGGCGTGCAGGCGCCGATTTTTCCGGCAGAGTTTAGCGCGCTGTGAAATGCAGTGTGCATTTAGGGAGAGTTTTGGCATAATATAATGTTGCTCATTGGAAATAAAAAAAAGAAATGCTGGCATCATGTGTTTACAGACTCTTAGTTATTTTTGGAATCTTAAGTACCCTTTTTGTGGCAGGTATTGGACGCCAGCACATTTTACGTAGGAACGAAGAGTGGAATCCGGCCAATTCCCTTCCACATTAACATCAAATGAGTGCTGTGAAAGCAAAGAAGAAAGTGAGGGTGAAACAGTTCCTGCAGTAGTAAGTGCCAGAAACAAGAAAAGTGCCCCGAAGTGGAAAATATACTCCCTTGAAAAGGATCCAAAAGAAATAGAAGTTATCAGGTATACCGCCGAGCGTCACAGACCTGGACACTCCATTTCAGTTTTTTAAATGCCCATGCCCTGATCAGCTGTTTACAGCAATATTTGAGGGGACCATCCTGTATTGAACTCAATGCCACCATGAACACCATTTTCGGGTTCTGGTCACACCTCCACGCAGGATGTCCTGCTTCAGATCAAGGAGGATATCCTTGACAGAATCTCCTGTACGACAACGCGGGCGGTCCTGGCCCTGGATATAAAGGGCGCCTTTGACAACGTAAGTCACACGCTGGTGTTCGAGAACTTGGCCTCAACTGGGTGCGGGCCCTGGATGTATGATTATGTGCGGGACTTCCTGAGCAACTGGATGGCCACCATCGGAATCGAGTCCATCCGCACAAACACCATACCGATACCGAGCAAGGGCAATCGGCAAGGCTCGGTCCTGTCACCCACCTTGTTACCTGGCGATGTGCAAGCCGCCTCCTCTACTGGAACGGATTCCCCGGATGAAGCATACACTCTATGCCACTCTATGTGGACGACCTGACGATTTGGGCTACGTCGGGATCGGACAGCGGGAGGCAAGACTTCCTCGAAGAAGTCATTGAGACGGTGCAGAACTACCTCGAGGCCGGCAACCTCCAGCGCGCCCCCGATAAGTCTCAGCTGTTGCTCCTCCGCGCGGGCAAGCCAATTCCTGAAGAAGAAGAAGGCGGACATCCGCCTCACGTTAAAGGATGGTACCCCCGTGCCGGTGGTGAAGCGGGTTCGGATCCTGGGGCCTTCACCTCCAGCGGGACGGCGGACCCAAGTACACGGTCGACCGACTCGTCAAGACAACCACGCAAGTCATGCGCATGGTGAGAAGGATAACGAGTCACAGACACGGGCTCGAGGAGTCGGACCTGATCCGGCTGACCCAACCACTCGTCGTGAGCCACATCGCCTGCGCAAATCCGTATCTCAACCTGCTGTCGAGAGGTAAGGGCAAGATGGACGTGATTATTCGCAAGGGGTACTAGCTGGCACTGGGGGTGCCGCCATACGCGTCGAACGCCAAGCTCCGGCGGCTAAGTGTAAACAACACCTTCCAGGAACTCGTCAACATGCACCTAGCCAGTCAGTGGGAGCATCTGGCCCTCACACTGAGTGGGCGGCATGCCCCGAGCTCGCTCGGCATCCCCATCCCCGCATCGCAATGCGAGGCTATCCAGCTGCTGCTGGCCCTTTGGGACAAGATCCAGGTGCCACCAATCCCGTGGAAGCTGAACCCATCTTTGCATCCAGGTCGCTGGATGGCTCCCGGTCCCTTGATTCCGCTTGGTCCCGTCGTGTAGCATAGGGCCCCTGGTAGCAATTGGGCTAGCCCAGCATTTAAGCATACTCCAGCCTTTTTGTATGTAAAGCAAAACAATTACTGCAGCTGAATACTTCTTACCTGACAATAATCGTAGTTTGCACTGCTCAATGCCCTTCTGTTTTATCTAAAATGCCGCAACTAAATACTTCGAGTACTGGTCGGAGCACTGCGGTGCAGGTGAAGTTTCTACTTCACCTGTTGCCCTTCTGTTTTATCTAAAGTACCGCAACTAAGTACTCCGAGTACCGGTCGGAGCTCTGCGGTGCCAGGTGAAGTTTCTGCTTATAAAAAAGTGTCTGCCCAAAAGCTTGCTTCGGTACCACAAGCTGCAACAGGAAGCCTGATGCAGAGGCTTTAAGAGCAAGCTCCATGCTTTGAATGTTGCTAAGCATGCGCGCTTGTGCAGTGCAACTGTCGTTCAGGACAACGTGCTCATTCTTGGCATTTCAGTTTCACTTGCACTTAAA